TTGTTTGGAGTTAGGATAATATTAATAATAATCATTAATAGCCTGCCGAAGGCAGCCATGGCTTAGGAACTCCACAAATCTATGATACCCTTTCCCTTTCTTGTTACTTATTCCCATTACCATTATTCACTTCTTTATCCACTTATGACTAGAAACACCTTATGTAAAAAAATAGTGGGATCAAGATATCAATTGGATACCAAAATTAATTGAAACTAGTAAGGCGCATGGCATCGTGCTTTAAGGCAAATTGCTGGAAATTCCCGTACCATTTTTAAATATTAACATTTTTTGAAAAAAATTTACTCTGAAAAATTAGATTTTTGAGAAACTATAATTTTTTAACAAAAATTTAATTTTTTTGAAAAAAAGACTTTGAAGAAAAGTGTATTTTGAAATATTTTAGAAAGTTTGACCTTTTTTTCAAAGCAATCGTACTGCTTTAACTGCATAGAGACGAAATATCGAAGCGGGTAAGCGCTGCGCCGCCGTCTAACGGATAAGCATTGGTACGGAACCCATAGGAATGTAAACAAAATTTATACTTATTGTTAAAATCTCTATAAAATATCTCATAATTTGATGTGCATATGTCTAATGATCATTTTTGACCGCCAAATGGCATTTATTTTTACTTTTTTACTAGATCTCCGAAACCGCTAGACCTGCTTTCATGAAAATTTTGATCAGTTCTTCATCTTGCTAATACAAGTAAAATGTTTTTTGAATTATTCAAATCAGACGCTCCGTTCTCTTAAAAACTGAGTTACCATTTTTGGCACTTTTTGCCCCATATCTCCGGAACGGCTAGACCTGCCTTTGCCAAAAACTAATCAGCATGACTCCTTATCAATACAAATCGAATGTTTTTTAAATTATTCAAATCGCTTCATCCGTGTTCCCGAAATCGTCGACAAAAATTTGTATCCGAACACACATACACACACGCACACACACACACAGATGCATCCATTTTTTCTAAGGTATGCCAAAACATTCAGAAACCTCTGAAACGTAAAGATATATAGAAATTTTCATTTTCGATTTTTTTGCGATTACTATATCTTACCCTACGGGAAGTTAATAAGTAAAGAATTAAATAGATTAGGATATTGAAAATATGAAAGTTAAAAAAGGAAATTATGGAACCGCGTTTACTAGGTACGACCTTACATCATTGTAGTGATATCAGTAGGTAGTGATATCCAGTGCCACTTAAAAACATAACTTAAAATGTCTTTCTGAGAACAACATAGCATTTTCCGGTATGTTCTCAATAAGATTAAAATATGTCATCACTATTAGAAAAAATCTTTGTAAAAAATATTACTAAAGAACAACTAACAGGTTGCCTTCTTCAGCAAAATATTTTGAAGGCAGAAGCACTTAGGTGTCTTAATGTCTGATTTTTATTCAGCAGCAAAGATTTAGAAAAAAATGACAAAAAATACTTTATAACTTTATATTATTTGAATAAATTATTTTTGTTTGAAAATTATTTGAAAATATAAACTCTGACTCCAAATTCCTTTGGACGAGTGCAAGTATAAATTTAATCGTAACTTCAAATTCTTTAATTATGCTTTAGATTCTATGAATAAGTTTGATCAATTTAATAACATTTTATTTATTGTACCTTTTGAATTGCTTATGGAGCATTTCGAAAACATAAATCAGAATAATAAACAAGAGTGATAACATTAAAAACAGCATAGCAACTTACAGCATGTTTAGAAATGCTCACCCCTATATATTTTATTCAAATATAATATATATTCAAATATTCAAATTTAATTTAGTGCAAAAGCAGACTATAAATTGAAGTTTTTTCTCGTAATTATTATAAATTATAAGTGTGCATATAACTAGATATGATAATGTTCTCCAGCCCTTGTTTCTACGCGTAGCACGGAAAATTTATAGTCTCTTAACGGGAAAATTTCAGAGCGCCATACCGAGAAAATACAATATAATATATCGCAGATGAATTGTGTTCATTATAGAACTGCATATATTGCGCTTATTATAGAAATGCATTGCAAATATAGTATTTTGTTCATTGTGATACAGTAATGGGAATAACCCGAAGCCAAGCTAATATAGGAATCAAAAGCCCGATGGAATTTTATTTTGTTATGCAATGAAGTTATTTGTTTCCTGATTGGATTTCTAGAAATAATTTGCACTTATTTTCCCAGTCATAAAATAAAAATTAAAATGCATAACTTATGAATTATTCATGATTAATTGTGACTTTTTTACAATTCCGTATCCGTATCAGATTATTTATTCCTTTGTTTTAAATATCTCTATAATTTTGAATAAAAATATTGAGATTGTTAGGTAAAACTAAGTTCAACATATTTACTTGCAAAAAATCTTTGATAGAGAGATATTGCACTTAATTCTTAAGCAAATTTTGGTAAACATTGTAGTACTATTTCAGCTAATGCAGTCTTGTTCTGCATTAATTTAAATACTTAGAAAATTACTGATGTAAACCAACATTTGTCAATTTTAAACACTGTTTTACCAATCAAATATCTGATGAAATACTTTGATATTAAAACATTAGATATGTGCTTGATGAGTACATAATCAGACACGTGGCTATGTGTAATATGTTATAAATAAAACTCATGTACTGTTAATTGATAACATATTTGAATTTACTCAATTAGTCATGATATTATTTAAAATCTTCACCGGATTTGTATTAATTAAATTATGAAGATTTATATTCTTCTGAGTCTATGTAGAGATAAACAATTTCTTGCTGAGATAAAAAATAACTTAGCATACTTTTAATGTAAAAACGTACGATTTTCCAAAATTGAGATAGGCAAATTTACTAATTTAAATAAAATGTTTTATTTATAACAGCAATACTTTATATAATAGTGCATATAATTAACAACACTTATTAAATTATTTATATGTAAAATTGGAATGGAGAAGATAAATATAGTGACAGAATTTCAAGAAAGAACACAATGAAAGTATACTGATTATATTAAAAAGTAGTAGAAGTGCAAAAAATGATAAAACTATAAGAGAACTGAAAAAAAAACATTGAAAAATATTAAAAACTTACTAGATGCACTCGAAGCACTAATTTTCAATTTATAATTGATATCTTCGAATTATAATCAGGAATTCTATAAGTTTGCTAAGTATAATTTAGGATTCTAATATGCAGGTATTTACCCATTATTTATCTATGATAAATTTACAAAAAATTAATCATTATAGTAAACAATTTTAGTTATTCATGCCATTCATTTACGATAAATATTCCAAAGAAATTTCCAAAGTGTTTTTTTTGTTTGTTTATGAAAAGTGATCAGAACTTACAAACTTTTCCTCTACCACGTGGACTTTTAGAACACAACGTAACGATTGTCTATCTATTTGATTTACTATTTTTTTTAGAAGGCAACCCAGTGGTTATCCTAATCGTGAAGGGAAAGGGAAATATTCACTGTAAAATAAATTTTGATCTATATTTTTAAATGAATATAAATATTACTACGGCCTAAATCAGAATGTCCAAAAATTTCTAAAATAAAATGAAAATTCGAAAAAGTTTGGATTTGGGATTATTCAATAAAATTCCATATTTTTTATCTCGTTTTTTAAGTTTACGAAACGGAAATACCACCAATTTGCCATAAGATGCAAAACCATTAGTTAAAAAATATGTTATTTATTCAAACATGGCTGCTGTTGGAAAAATACATTAATGTATTATTATTTCAAAACAATGACTTAAAATAAAAACTCTATTTTATAAAGATTGACGAATACAACACCTTTTATTGACGTTTTCTACTATATGAATTATTCGCAATAACAAGATTGCGAAATACACTAACATTTTATTAACAGTAATAAAATCAATACACAGTGCTGATAAAAAATATGTATAGGAATAATGTTATTCATATAAGTAATACTAAAATCTTTACGATCGCGGTATTAAAATTGAAAATAGGTCATCTATAATTATCGCTTACCAATAAAGATTACCTTGACGATTCTTCAAAAACATGTATTGGAAATTATAAAATGTATCCACGTGTAAAAACTTGCGGAAAATCGATCTAAATTAAAGGAAAATTTTTTACGCCATAAATATAAAATGTTTGTGATAATCATAGGTGTCAATATACCTATCAATTAAAACCTGCAAGAAATTTAATATAGGTATTAAAAAAATGTTGATATAAATTTCATATTGGTATATTCTTTTAAAATTCTCTCTTAATTTTACAATAAATACAATTATAATCTATTAATTAATTTCGAATATTTACAATATAATACATTATTCAATCATTTTGATATTATTGTAACTATAATACATTTGTTTATTTAAATACTAAACATTATAAAAGCTATTAAGGAAGACTTTTGTGATTTTGTCGCTTTGTTAAGGCACTATTTTACTTCAATCCAAAGATTAGTCTTAACTTGTGGTCACATAAAAATAATATGTACAATAATATACATAATCTAAACTAAAATTAACATAAAATAATTATTTTTATTCACAGCATTTCTTTTTCTTTAGAACTATATAAAAATATGCCATTCCAGACATTTTAAAGTAATTAAAATTAATGAGCACAATGACGCGGTAGTCAATTACAGATCGTGATGTATCAAATTGCAATAATTATTTTTTCTTTTGCACATCACAAAGAAATTCTGGTTTGATTCGATTTAATAACATCATAGGATTAAATATAAAAGAGAATGACTGGCACAATTCATTATAAAGTAATGATAAAAATAACTTACAAGGATAAAATGACTAACTTTTTGCAATATGAGCCTTTGCAATTGCTAATTATAAAATATATTTGCCATGCAAAGTTTTGCAATTCAATTGATATATAAATAGTTCGTATAAATCTAATTAAAATTTATAGTATAATATAAATATTTTTAAATGTTAAGGCACAATATATACATTTCATTTGGAACTAACTTATATGTCTTTACGCGCAGTAATCAATATCAAATCACGACTTTTCAAAAAAACTTATAATTTTTATATCACTCAAGAACATTTAATTTAAAATATAATTAAAATAAAATTTGATGATCAGAATTTTATCATATAAATGATTAAAAAATTTCCACTAATTACCAGGGTCTCCAACAAGGATTCGTTTCATCTTCAGCGGCTTTGTAAGTTTTTTGTTTGCGAACGACCAAAGAAATCGGACCCTGGGGGCTTTCGGGTCTCTGTAACAAATGATGCCTAGGTCTTTTGTGTTCTCTATGCATTTCCCCGGAGGCACCTTGTAAACCATCAGCTACGCGATTAAGTTGATTCAACCTCTCCTCCACGTCAATATCGGGTGTGCATTGTTTTTGGAATGCCACCCGCGATTCGTGATTGTTAATTTCGGGAGAGAATGTCGACCGATCTGGAGTTTCTCCACTATGGCTAGATTTTGGAGGAGTTGGTGGGCTGACGTAGCAGAATGAAGCTGGACTGCAGGAGCCACTGCTTGCCGAATGGGTAGAACTCGTTCTTTGAGGAACGGTTAAAAGTGTAGGCACAATCACTGAAGTTGCTTGTGGCACTGTCAAATTTTGTTTGACTACGTTTTGGTATTGATTCACCATCACTACATTCTGCTGTTGGATAACATTTGGGCTTAATCTCTGATTCATATGCATGCCATTTGGAGAAGCTGCATGTTGTTCAGCGTATACTTGATGAGTAACATTAGGTGTTTGCATTGATGGATGTAGTTGTGCTAAATTTGGTATCAAGCGCGTGTTTGGTGACGAGCTTGGAGAAGAGTTAGCTGTTGGTTGTGGGTTCACTTGCGGAACCATTTGTGGCGTAGGAGTTTGCTGTTGAGGTACTTTTGATGCAGGCAACACCAAAGCAATGTCACCATTTGGTAAACGTGTTGGCAAGAGCTGTACTCCTTGACCGCCAGATGTGGTAACAAAAACTGATCCACCCGCATGGGCTGATAGGTGGATTTGTTGGGCAGGTTCTGGTGCTGGCAGAATGTGGACCTGACGAAAAATGGAAATACAATAAATAACTAAAGTCAAAAGCAATAAAACAATTTAATCATTTTATAATTGATAAATAAATTGACTATTTAAATTTGATTTAAAACTAACCTGATTCTGATTGGATTCTGGAGTTTCATCTTGTACAGTTGTCGGTGATTTTCTATTAGCATTTCCATTAGTAGCATTGACCAAGCAACCTGCTAAGTGTTGCATCAATCGCCTCCGAACAGCAGGTTCCAAACCAGGAAACCTACTCACTTCACCGCAACATTGTGCATATCCGGCACGGAATTTATTCATAACACCTATAACAAAGAAAATTTAAATATTAGAAAAATAAATAATATTTAATTGAAAATATTGATAAATTAATGACAAAAATTTAGAATATTTACCTGGATCGGCGGCAGTGGCTAAAGCGGTTTGTTGTCTTTGCAAGGACTCTAAATGTCGAACAGTCATTTCTAGAATGTCTGCTTTTTCCAATTTTGAATGACGAGCAGGCTGTAAAAAATAAATATTGGTTAATATATTTAATCATATTCACAAATTCTTTCAAAAAGCAAAAATATTTTTATCATGGTTCTAATACGAATGCAATGAGAATCTGATGAGGTACTTACGTCTTTTTTCATGGCATCCAAAATCAATGTCTTAAGTTCGTTCAAGCAGTTATTGATACGAGCTCGTCTTCTTTTTTCCATGATTGGTTTATTACTCTGCAAAAAAAAAACAAAACAACGTAAATAAACGCTTGCTAATTATACAGCATACTAAATATAATAAATAATAAATATTATCTAGCAAGGTATATAAATAGAATACGGTAGCTAACAAATTTTCCAAAGTGTTCCCGAGAACTCTTACGTAGATAAGTCAGGTAATTCGATAAACAAACAAATTACAAGTCATGCTTGACAAACAAATATTTTTTACACTGATCCAGTTAGAACCAGAACTGAAGATTAGCGAGTCTGCGGCGTGTGACCAATTTCTGACGATAACGAGAATCACAAGCGCAAATAACCGGAGACGACACCTCATAATAAACATAATATGAAATGATGATTAAATCAGGCTTGGACTTTGAACTTTTCATTTTGTAGAGAAAACACGTCGCGTGTTATGGTCTGATGATGATTTTATAGAAATTTTATATTTATCTATTGACGCACATGACACTGATGTAACTGGGAGATTGAAACTGATACTTTTCTACGTGTGAGATGTTTCATCATTTTGGTTGCAACCTACATTAACTAACTCGCATTTTATGTAAATGCTGATAAATGATTATTTTAAATTCAAACTTGATTTTTATAGAAATTGTGATTCTTGTACAAATATTCGAAATGCAAAATTATTAAGATCAACAAATATTTTTAAATTTTTTTTATCAATCCAATCCTCAACCATCATTAGCCAGCTTTTATTTATAAAATTGTTCAAAAGCATATATAAATTTTCTGGTTCTGCCTAACTAAAATTATATTTCCGAGTTTAACATAAAATTTCTGACGTTTTACCTATTTCCAGTGACCACGGTGGGTAAAACAAATTTATATATAGAAGTGTCAAAATAGTTTGACTTCGCGTAGGTCTTCAGGCTTTGCTCAATCTTTTTATATTTTGATGAAATTTTTTAACTGGATGTAGGTGTAGAAATAATAAGTAGGTGTAGATCTAATAAAGGTATTTTTGAAAATTTGAAATATTTTTTTTACTATAAAGTTCTTGTTAATGATTACTGTTAAAAGATTTATTGAAAATATGAGAACTTGTAAATAGAACAAAGAAAAAAAGCAAAAGTAAAGCATTAATTATATTAATAATTTTCATGTTTATCCTTATTATGTTCTGAATTCTTTAAAACATTTTTATGATTATAACTCGGTTCTGCATTGAGATTAATATTTTTTTTGGCTTTGTGATTCAGTTCATGTATTTTTTTTTTTAATTTTAATAATGATATATTACATGTTTTGTAAAGAGTAGGTGCCAACGTTAATAGTGAAAAATATCCAAATAAATAAATTCAAAGAAAAAATAAAATTTTTACTTTGTATTTTATAACATTCTCAAAATTTTAATGGACGTATTTAATTGATTAATAATGATAAGAATCTTAATAAAAGTTCTAGCAAGGAGAACTTCAGGATTACTCTCTTATGGGTTTTTGATGGAACTTTGCATGGTGATAAGGTTGATGGTCAAATCGAAAAGTTTAAAATATTATAGGCCTATGAGAGTTGGTTTAATTATAAAAATTTTTGATTTTATAAAAATTATAAAAAGTTTTGAAAAATAGACCGATGTATTCGTACGTATTGCGCACGGTCTATTTTTCTAAACTTTAACTAATTTTTATAATTGAACCACTTCTCATACAACTATAATATTTTAAACTATTTAGTTTAACTATCAACTCTATCTGTATGCAAAGTTTCATCAAAATCTCAGAAGAGTAAATCTGAAGTTCTCCTTGTTAGTATTATAATGTATCACAGAAGACAATGAAATAAAATTAAAATAGCGAAAATGAAGCAAGATGAATGCAACAATACTCAAACAATATATTCTTTGTTATTTTTAAGCCATGTAAATTTTTTTTATCACTAAGATTTTTTTTAAAAAAATATTAGTTTTCTCTATCTAACTCTATGTTTTCATAAATATTAAAATGCTATATTCCATTGCAACTAAATTTTTTTTTTTGAAAAATAAATTTTTAAACAAATATAAAATTTAATACAACTTACCCTTCTATTATCGCTGGCACGTTTCTGTGGCTCATTTGTAACATCATTGACCACCGCTGCACCAGACAAAGGTGCTACTGTAGCTCCAGCAACCATTTTTACAATTTTAATTAAAAATCTACAGAATAAATCAAAAAATCTATTTCACTTCCCAGCACTTTTGTAAAAGTCACAAAATAACACAATTTTATACCAACATGGATTTACACATAATCGCACATTTGTGGAAAATATCAGTCTTAACACAAGTATATTATAAATAGTTTTTTAATAGACACTTTCATTTTATTAATAAGTCACTGTACGATTTATAAATCCTGGGATATGAGTCTTTAATAATTTTTTGTGCTAGTATATTTAGTCTTCTCAGAGCGGTGCTTCGCGCTATACTGATTTCAGAACTTGAATGATCGTTCAACCAGGCCCAGGCGCGTGATTCCGGAGCGCGGGGCTAAAAATCGAGTCTCTGGTGGGGATGGATGAAACGGCAACATTCGGGTCGGTCCAGCCTTTCATACAAATATCTTTGTTATTCAGGTAGAAAGATAATAATCCGAGGCAGGTATCAACACGCGTGACTCCCTCCCCGACCAAGCGAATTTTATTTATCCGTAAATGGAAATTCAAATTGTGAATTAGTAATGCACTTTGACCGATATACTGTTACCGGAATGAGTCATACGCGATATAAACTCATATGCCGTGGTGTTTTTTTGATTTGGTTTCTTGTTTTAATAACATAGGCGATATTGCGTTTAGATAATTTTATTAGTCATCGATTGTTTTTCAAACTTGTGAATTTTGTGTTATTATTATTCTTTAATTCATTTGTTCTGCAATCTGTTATTGAAAATAATGAGCGGAAATTGTTAACAAAATATAAGATAGGGATAATATTTTAAAAATAAACTATGAGCGGAAATTGTTAACAAAATATGAGATGGAAATAATATTATGATCGGATATTAGTAGGTACACCTAGTCTAATCTACTAAAATAATCCTAGTATTGCATGACATCCTGCCTTAAGGAAACTTGCTGTACTGAAATTTGAAGATTTTTAGATTTATTTTTTTTGAGAATTTTGAACACATTTAAAATTTTTTGTATGTTGCATTACTGATTTAGAGACAAAAAATCGAAGCGCGTAAGCGCCGCTGTCTTATTATTAAATATTATAAATCTTGGTACGGAACCAATAGAAATAAAAATAAAATTTATATCTTTTATTAAAATTTATATATTTGATGTGCATTTGTCTAATGATTTTTTTTAACGCCACATGGATTTTTTTTTTAACCTTATTTTATTGGATCTCCGAAACCGTTGGACCTGCCTTTCCAAAAACCTCAATCAGTTTTTCATTCTGTCAATGCAAGTAAAATATTCTTTAACTCATTATAATCAATTGCCTGGTTCTTTCAAATTTTCTTACACTTCTTGCCCCATATCTCCGAAACAGTCGCCACTGCCTTTACCAAAACTAATCAGCACGTCACCCCCTTAATACGAATCAAATGTTTTTTGAATCATCAAAAAAAATATTTTCAAATGTTTTGGAATTTCTATAACTTACCCTATGAGTATTTAACAATTAATATATACTTCAGTTATTAATATGTCACATATGATGTTTTATAACATTTTATTACATATATGTTTATATATGTAAACTTACTACATATATGTTTTATAAATTTTATTTCAAAATTTATATTAAAAACTTCAATGAGTTCTATACTAGTGATTGAGATGAGAATTCTTCACTACATAGCTCATATGGAAGACAACCAAATAATTGTCCCATTAGTATTTGATAATTTTGTTATTAATACAATTTCTCTAGTGCTGATAATTTTTATTGCAATAATGTCTGGTAAAAGCATATTTCTATCTATATTTTCAAGTGAAAATCAATGTCGCTATTGTTTGATATCAGGCTGTCCGAAGTATTTACCAAATCTGGAACGTCGGGTTACAAAGCCATCCTTTACAATAGAGTCAGGGGCGTAACTTACATAAGTAATATAATAAAATAATAAAAAGTAAACTTTCCACAGATTCCATACAAAAAAATATAACTATTTTAATATCTAAAATTAAACGAAAATATCTAACTTTTAATCGTTTTTAAATATTATCACATTTTTTTTAAAAACAAAAATATAATTTAAATAAAAACTTCAGGTTTAAGTGCAAAGAATGATAAAATTTTTAATAAAATAAATAAATCGAGTAATATACGATTTTTTACTCTATATTTCAAATATGATTAAGTTATTTTTTATATGAGATAAAGTTTCAAATAATAACGGGGATCTTGATTTTTTTAAAAAATCAACAGTTTGAAAATGTCTAAATGTTATAAAAATGAATTACATTCAAAGTAATTTTTTACTTTGAATGTAATTTATTTTTATAACTTTCACTTTGAGACATTTTCAAACTCTATTCAAAGGGTAGAAAATCACTAACAAAAGGTATATTTATTTTATGTGAATACACGTGTCGCGTTTAACAATACATTTTTGAAAAGATTATATTCAACAATCAGTATATTTTTAATGAATTAATTTTGTTGAAAAACATTGAAACTGAATTGAACCTTAAATTGTTTACTCTTACAATTGTTAGGTAAAAACGGAATTGAACTCATTACAAATATATGCGTCAGTTCAAATGTTTCAATATAAAAATACATATGCAATGACTAATATAAATTCTAAATTTATAAATGAATATATCTAATCTGAGAAATTTAATAACGCGTATGAAACTTGCATATAATGATGCAATACAAATTTAAAATAATTGTGCGTTTAGGTATATTAATCACATTTTATCACATTAATTAAAATACTTTTAGAGTAGTGGTATCAATAATAATGAAAATTGATATAAACTTATTGTAAATAAAATGACGAATAATGAAATGACAACTTATCGTGCCTCATATTTGCACATTTGAATATAAGCAAAATCGAAGATTGTGTTGTAATAACATTTGCATATAATGGATAATTTTAGTTTCAGTTTGCCTTTGAATTAATTTATATTTGTTATGAAATAACTGAACTATGCCGAACTGATTATTTGTCTTCATAAGTATAAATATCAAGTTAAAAAATAAAAACTTAAAAACAATACGATAACGGCTAACGCATTTCGCTCACATTGAACATTTTTTTCCCTTTTAGATTTATATTTTGTTACTCAAATTTAAAATACAAGATAAAAATTTAAATTTACTCAAAAAAGTATTTTATTACTTTACAACCCTGATTAAATGCACTAACTTTTAATTAAAGTTGTCAACATACGTTAGTATATTAAAAAAATATATATGATGTTTTTCAGGACAGTTACGGTTCATACTATCACCCCGTTTCTGTATGACGTTGAGTTCTAGGACACCCTGTATATATTTTTACTTTATTTTGTGAGAAAACTTCTTGTCTTTTAATAATTTTCATATGCGTTTATGTAACTTTTCGTTTATGTACCGAAATACCGGTATACCGCCCGAATTTTCGGTGGTATTTATACCGGTATTTTCCTAAAAATTACCGGTATTTTAGGTATCTTTACATAAGTGCTAATAGATCCATATTACACTCGAGTTTAAATTTCTCGGAACAAATTTATCTTTAAATTCTGTAATCGCATAAACAGATATATTTTTAAGTGGTAATAAAGTATAAACAAATGTCAAAATATCATATATCAGCTCGTCATTAAACTGAATAATTATTGTTTTATGAAGGGCTTCATATCGTGTTACAATAAACAGAATCGAACCGATAGATAATGATTTTTATTTCTTCTTAATGTAAAAATTATTTTTTTTAAATAAATTAAAAAATATTTTATATTATAAAGACTCACAATCAACAAAATAAAGATTACCCATGCGTAATCTTTATTTTTTTCTAACTTAATCAGAATATTTACTAAACTTTTTTGCTTCTTATTACAATTATAAAATATTATTTTACGAAAACGTATAGCAGTTTGAAAATACTATAGAACCATCATATTGTTTCAAATAAAAATATTCAACGATTATAGTATGTTATTATTTATCTTGATAAAGTATCAGATCTTAAATTAAGATAGAAACACTTAAAGTCTTTAAAATATTGGATAATGCTGATTTAACACATAGGCAATACAATTTCGGAGTTACAAGGAGTTTCGTCTTTAAAGTAAGTAACGACGAAACTCCTTTAACAAAAAAGAAAGATGTAGTTTATAAAATAAATTGTTTGGATTGTAATTGTTCTTATATTGGCCAGACTTGTCAGAACTTAAATAAAAAATTCAGACAGCATGAATTACAATGCGAAAAAATAGATAATAAAAAATTTGAAAGTACACTTGTGGATCATGCTAATATCAACAACCATAAGTTTGATTTTGATAATCCTCAAATCTTATTCCACGAAAAAGATTTATTTAAACGGAGTATGGCAGAATCAATATTAATAGCTCGGACTGATAATAGCGTAAATCTGAGAACTGACACAAATATTTTACACGACTCTTATATAAACATCATTAATAATAATAATTTATATATTTTTTTTATTTATCTTATTCTCTTCAATAAATTAATCTGTTTTCACATTTGTTGATTTTAGTATGCGATCGCGCACTTCATTTATTTACATAATAATAATAATCCTGTCTCTTCATCTCGATACTTAAGATTTGTTTAAAATATTTCTGTATCTATTCACATGTTTGTTGATAGATTGATTGATTTAGTATTGTTTTAGTACTGTGTCAAGTTCTGGAAGTGATGTTTTTTGTGTTTTCAAAAATTAAATGTAATTTAAATAAAATATTAAAGAATGTGTAGTATAAAAGTAACTGTTTTGAAATTACACTGAGGATGAGGCATACCATGGTCTCGAAACATCTGTAATTACCAAATAAAGTGTGTTAAAAATCTGAGTGTTGTATTGTTTATATTTAACATTTAAAATTCTGTATATATATATATATATATATATATATATATTAGGGTGGTCCTTAAAATAGTCATTTTCGAATTTCCTTGCTCCCAGGGGCGCAAATGGTTCCAAATAGATAAAAAACAATTCTCTGAAAATTTTAGCTCTTAATATTAACGTTTAGATAGAGCGCAATTCAATCAAAGTTTGTATGGAAAGAGCATGGAAAAATTTTTGAAAATTAAAAAAAAATGTTTTAGGTGTAACTTAGTGACAAATGAATGAGTTTTATTCATTCATTTGTTCGCTAAATTACATTTAAAAAACATTTTTAAAATTTTTGAAAAATTTTCCATGCTCTTTCCATACAAAACTTTGATTGAATTGCGCTCTATCTAAACGTTAATATTAAGAGCTAAAACTTTC